GTATTGCATTATACAATGTTGCCAATTGACAGAAGACTCTGTTAGTATTGGAAAATCCAATCATTGACTTTTTAGAGAAACACTGACTTTCTCTCTCTCTCTCTCGTCTCTCTCTCCTTTCTTTTCAGTGTCTTAAACCCCAGTCATCCCAAATTCTTGTAGCTTTTAAAATGTTAATGTAAATCTGGGCATATATTTTCAGATTTTTTACACTGATGCTATTCCATAATTGCTTAGGTATATTTTCCCATTGTAGTCTTTTAGAATCAGAAGTAAATGTGTAAACCCTTATAAGTCATCTAGTCCAACTTTCGCGTATTGCATGTAAAGAATCTGTGACCCAAAGCAAAAACTAGAATTCTTAACTTTCCATTTAGTTTTTCCCCCATAACACCATGCTGCCTTCCCTTCAGATTATCAGCCAATCAGAAGCTGAGTTATTCAAAAACTACATATTTCTTGGGACACTCCTCTACTGGTCTATGAACTCAAGTTTATTGCTTTCAAAGATAATTGCCTTCTTTGCCTAGTCCAACTGCCAGTTTTGTTGGAAAAAAGGAGGTTATATGTTCACAAAACTGAAGGCTTTCTGCCTAAAAAGCAGTTCGTGAGCATAATTTATTGTATCTGTGGTTCTGGTGTTCGTATTGCCTTTGATTTACAGCAGACAAACTTGGCCAACAGTGTGCTCTACATGTAGTGCTTGTGCTGGGCTAACATTTCCATCGATTTCTTCACCTCCATTTCCTCCAGGCCCCTATAGTTGTGGTAGTGAGGCCTTCACCAGTTAGTGTCGCTGCTTCCCAGGCTTCTCCCAGGAGGTTTTAGTTCAATCTTAAAGATACTTCAGTGTGAAAGAAGGAACTAAACTATCAGGCTACTTTCACAAACCTCCTCTTAGCTTAATATCCTAAATGGTAGATTGCATTTAGCATTGCCAAGCGTATACTGGAAAATACAGATTATACTACCATGTGTTTTGTATCTTCCCTTGCAAATGATGATATTAAACTAAGGTAAGTTTTTGTCCTTTTAATTTTTTATATAAATTATTTCCACTCCCTCTAATTTATAGAATTGATGTCTTCTTTTAAGTACAATAGACCCTTATGTGTAACAGATTTGATATGGATTCATTTATTCATAAGCAACCCCAAAAGTCCAAAAGTGTAGTAATGTTTGACAAGGCAGAGTCGAGATGCTGTGAAACTGACGGGTGGGAAAAGTCAACTTAGAGTCTGGAGAGGGTGTGGTGTGTGTATGGCAAGAGATTCCACATTTCCCACGTGGTGGGCTGCAAAGAGCAAGTTTGGGTCAACCATTTCCCATCTGTTTTTAAGAAGTGGTATGGGCCAGAAGACATCATGGGAGGTGGGATTGGCCTGTTACCTGTGCCCTGCACCCTCGGCCCAGGAAAGACTTGGAAGGGTAGAGGGATGCAAAGGCTTCATGAATAGACAGAATAGTTTGTGTAGGAAAGGGGCTGGGATAGGTCCAGCCTGAGAGCAGAAAAACATTGAAGATTTGGGGGCCTTGGTACAGATATACTTAATGACCATGGAAGCCAGCAATACACACCTCAATATGACTGACATTCTCTATTTCCTGGCTTTTATTATAAATGTCCTAAAATTTTTCAGTTTTCTTAACTGTATTTTATAGAGGAAATTATCTCTTAACGATGGTATCAAGCACTTGAGATTTATGAAGACATTAGGACAGATATCTCAGGAATGTAAAGGGTCAGAAAAGGTCTGTTTTGTCTGATTAACAAATCCGATGGGTTTCATGGCTGACCCTTGGTGCTTAAACCAGGAGGTTCCAATCTAGTTTTAGAGTTCTGTCCCTCCGAAAGGTCTAACTCCATGTGACTAACAAACTGGATGTATACTTTGAGCCTTATTTAATTCACAAAGAGGTTGACTTACCTCTATTTTTATTTCAACAAATGAAAATAGCCCTCTTTTCACCGCCAGATTGCTTACATGTTGCTGGTCTCCCCAAGTGACCATTGGTGGAGACCAATTAATGAAGGAATGAAATTCACTTTCTTGGGACTGTGGTATTCTGCAGAGCCAAGCTTAACCACTTTTTCTAGTGAAGAATCTACAGAGTGATAATACCTAAGTATGGATGGCCAAGAAGAATTTATATCTACAGTGTGCTTTATGTATTTTTGACACTGCTGTATTCTGTGTGTGATCGAGTGACTTGTAACTGGTTCCAATGTGAGTGTTCTCAAAGAATCCTAGTAATTAAGTTGACTTAATTTTCTTAAGCCTTGTGTTACTATTAGTCTCACATTTACCACTTTGATTCCAGTCTTTTAACTGTTCATAACAGGGCATACCAAGGGTTGGGATAAGAGCCTACTTCCTACCTCTTAAGGCACTTTCCTCATTATTTTTCCATGTAACCTTGAAGTGCATGATAAGCTGTTTAAATGTCCATGACTTCTCCCAGAGCAACTAGCAAAGTATATGACATTGAATAGAGATTAGTGGAAAGGAAACTTTAGAAACTAAGTTCAGAGGTTCAAACCTCAAGAAAACCTCTTTAGAGCACATACCATTTGAGTACAATATACGTGAACGTATGTGAGAGGAGAGTTGCTATAATAGTCCTCTAAGTAGATTAGTTCATTATCTAATGGAAGTGAAAATCTTTACTCCTATTATCACTATAGTACTGAATGAACTGTATACTGAGTTTTTCAAACAAGTATTTAAAGTAGAACTTTTAAATACCAAGCAAGGGCATAAGGATAAAGGTTTGGGTTTGTGTTCCTCTAAGTGTAGTGTTCCATCTAAAGCTTTGTTTTTTAATCGAAAAATGCTTCAAGGTATTGCCATTTCTTAGCATTCTTAATAATTATGGGTGATGAGTTTTTAATTCTTAAAATTATGTATGTGTATTAGGTTTATCTTAAATGTTACCCTACGCAGAAGGGAAAGTATACACCTAAGGGATGTAATTATTTTGCATTTTTGGGTGGGAATGGGGTGGGCATCTACTTAGATAGTTTTTAAAAAAAATCACAAGTATTTTTCTACTATTATATATCATCTTACTTTCTACTAGTTTCTCTCTAGTAAGGCATGCCAGAAGCCCGAGGTACCATATCATGAGTTCTTATGTATTGTACCTTTTATTGGTGGTTAAATCATATCAGATGCTTGGCACTGCTGCCATAATTATGAAATGCTTGTAAAGGATTACATATCACTGAATACTTTAAATTGTTTTACTTAAGAGTCTAATCTGGGGAAGTTTTCAAATCATACTATTAATGTGTAATCTAAGCTCTTTCAGATGTATCCATGAATAATCCTGGAACAATATTGCTTGTATTCCTGTCACAGAACAGGTTTTGTAATCTTTAAAAGAAACGAAAATTTATATAATAAAGTTTCAAACAAATGCATGTATGTTCCTTTATCAGGTTATTGCAATTACATGTTGATTCTTCATATTATCAAATTATTTTATCCAAGGTATAAATTTATCAAATTGGATTGGTAAAACTTAAAACAGGAATGTCTCTGAGTTAATAAGGAGTACGAACTAGTTTTTCTATGCAAAGTTTTCATTAGCCTAAAGAGTTTGTTAAATAAGACTCACATCAGTCATAGATCTTACCCAATACCAAACTTGATTAATCATTCAAAGGATACAGGGTAATCACCAGGCACAGATGAGACTCTTTTCTTCGAGAAGTCCAAGATTATCAGATTTAACTCCAAAACAACCCTTTCCTCCCTCATAATGGTACATTTTGGATTGATTCAGAATTAAAGAACAAGTTTTCTTCTGTGCGATGTATGTGGAGACATTGTTTAAACAAAGGGAGTCATTTGGTTTTGCAACACCCCCTTTTTATGCCTCATTAATTACACACTTTAAATGGTGAGTCCTCGTTCTCCATCCAACCATGCCTCATAGATCCATAAATTGCAAGTTTTACAAGAAGCTATCTCTATAGACTAAGTGTATCTTGCTAAAAGCATTTTAGAGATAAGGACTTTTTGTTTTATTTCTGCTAATAAATGTCATTAGCACATTTAAAAGGAAATTTGAGATCATTGATTGCTGGTAGAGAGGGAATGGGTTATAGGCCTGCAGTTATCCTTTCCTTTTCAGTAGACATTTGTAGTAGTTTTATATTATGAGAGCATATTAGTTTGCTAGGGCTGCCATAACAAAAAACCACAGACTGGCAGAAATTTATTTTGTCACAGTTCTGGAGTCTGGTTCAAGATCAAGGGTCCAACACCCTATCTCCAAACAAAGTCATATTCTGAGGTATTAGGGGTTAGGAATTAAACATGAATTTGGGGAGTACACAATTCGGCCCATAACACTGAATTTAGGTCTTCCCTCCCTCCCTTCCTCCTTTTTTTCCTTCCTGAGCACCTACTATGTGCCAGACATTCTGCTAAATGCTGGTAATGGTAAAGCAACAGATGTGGTTTACAGTGAGGTAGGGAAGACATTTATAAAGTGATAACGTCATGCAGATATTATGCTTTGGTAATGGGGACGACAGGAAAGCATTGCCCATTCCTTCAGACTGCCAACCTGCTAGGTCGGGTGAAAGAGCCACGTTAAAACATGAGATTACAGTTGATTCAGCTGCTCAATCCCTGAGAGGCTGGTTTGTCACAAAGCAGCAGAAGTCTGGTGTCAGCCAGCAGGGGGCGCTACCTGAACCAGCTCTTTACTAGAAAGCCTGGGCCCCTCCCATTTCCTCCCCGACTCCGCCTCCTCCTTGCTCATGGCCCCGCCCCCTACTTGTTCCGCGAACACTCCCGGAGCGCGTGTCGCTCAGCTTTAACAATAGGGGAGGGATCAGGCGGCCACGCCTGCGCAATAGAGACAGGGGGGCGGACCCAGGCGGCGTTGGAGGCGGGGAGACGCAACGCAAGCAGATGCGACGCCATTTGCTGCCGGCCGTGCGTGTGTAAAGCAGGTCTTGGAAGAGCTCGGTCTCGGGACTCTCCGGCGCACGCGACCGGCCTCTCGCGCCCGCTTGGTACCGCGGGGCTCCACGCGTTACCCCTCGCCCCCCTTGGAGGAATCGCCACCACCGCCGCCCGAGTAAGAGTCCGAGTCGCCGCGAGGCCTCGGCTCCCGCCATGCCCAAGAATAAAGGTAATGCCGCCTGGACCCCAGGAACACGACTCTCTGCCGGGTCTCCCGGCCATCCTTGCGCCTTCGGGATATCCCAGGCTGCCGTGACCTTCCTCTCCGCCCGGCCTGCCGGTGGCTGGGCGATTGGGACGCCCTCCTGGGCTCGGGAGAGGAGCTGGGAAGTTACTCCTGTCTTCCAGTTTGGTCACATTGGGGTGGAGCCGACGCCATTTTTGTAGGGCCTCCTGCCGGAGAATATGGGCTTTTGGTCCTGATTCGCGCCACAGTGGCCTCGGCGTGGTGGGACCCATGGAGAGACCTCCCCTGGGGCGGCGTGGGGTTCGCAAGTGGGCGCTTTGGCCGTCCTGGGCAAGGGGAGTTAAACCCTGGAAGCAGTTCTTAACTTTCAGAGGGGGATGCTTGCTTTAGTGCCCGTCAGGTACCCCTAGATGGGTTTCTTTATGGACAGAAGTTGAATATTGTTGAGACTACATCTCTCTTGTAAACAGTGGGCGAAACCTGGATGCAATTTCGAGGTTCATCTCTAGAGATATACCCTTCCCCATCCCTTTACGGAGTTTAACTCCGCCTCCCCCCACACACACACACACTTGTTCCATATTTATCCAAGTTTTCTAGTTTTGTTTCAGATTATATATATAATAAGTTCCCTCCATTCTGAAGTTAAACATTCACAAGTTACCAGACTTGAGGATAAGTTAATTTGGAATTTCCAAAATGAAAAGCCTAGTCTAGGTAAAAGCAGAACAGTCCTAAAGAAATTCTCCCTTTTTTAGACTTAAGGGTGTTTCTGCTTTTTTTTTCTTTAGCATCCCTCTAATTTCTCAAAGGAAATTGTTCAAGTAGAAACTGGGAAAACTGTGTTTCTGACAGAAGAGAAGCTTATTTCAGAACCCACAAGAGGTTTCCTTTGGTTATTCATCCTGAGACCCCCTGCCCTGACCTGGCCTACTTCCGTTCTCTTTTCTACTTCACAGCTGGCTACAGCATTTCTACCTCATTTTCTCTGTAGCTGTCACTACTCATTTTATCCCTTGGGATTTTTTATTGCAGTTCTGTGTAAGATTAGTTGCAGTTATCTGTAAGATTTACTGCAGTTCCCTCAGGGCGTGCTACAGTTATTGCCCTTAGAAATCTAACTTGTGGGACCTTTTTGGAGCAAGGATTTTACTGCTAATAATTTTTGGAAAGATTGGGTGATCAAATAGGGTTTTTTAAAAGTCATAGTTTTCTTGAAACCTATGTAATCATTTATTCCCTATGAGATGGTAACCAGATCGCTTTAATGGGTATCTTATTCTCACTTTTATTTCTAGCATGAGATTTCCAATTCCTTCACTAGACTGTACGCTGTAAAGGGCAGTAATAGTATCTGTCTTAATAACATTAGATTGCTAGCATTTGACACTTAGTAGATGCTCAATAAATATTTGTTGGATTAAGTCACCTCCCTTCTGTTGAGTCCACCCTTAGGTGGATAATAGGTTACCCTTTAGTTCCAAGGATAGGACTTCTGCATTAAATCACATCTAGTTCACTAGCCTCCTTCCTTTAAAGTTCATTCCATTACATGGCAATAAATAGGGAGGTGATCAGGGTATGATTAATTCTGGTAAATTGACAAGTGATGAATCATTTTATAAGTAACATTTTGTACGTACAAAAATTATAGATAATGCAATGAACATCTGGGAATCCATTACTCCAAACTTGAGGATTACAACACATTCCGTTAAAGCCCTCTGTGTCTTCCTTCCTTACCTTGAGGGAAGGTGCTCCCACATTTTGAGGGCCTCACTACCTTTGATTTTAAAATTACCACTCCTTTAGGAATATGTGGACTACTCTTGACTGATTTATTCAAAGACTTGCTAGCTCAGGTATATAACTCAGCAAACAAAGTAGGTATGATTCTTGTCCTAATGGAGCTTTCACTTTAATTTGAAGACCTGGCATGATGAGTGGCTTGAAGCAAAAGGTACTTGTCCTAGGGAATTAGTTTTGGTGTGCCCTAAGAATGCCTCAAATACTGAATTCTAAGGACTCTGGGTGAGTCAGGAAATTGTAGAGGCCTGCCTAACAATTGCACAGAGCATTGTGAGACTGTACCCAGGACAGGGTAAGTACACATGATGATGCAAGAAGTTAAGTGTGTCTGTCTTTAGAGTGGCCAAGTGCACACACTCTATTCTGTTTGGGTTATGAACCTTTTGCTGCTTCCACACTCTTCCCATATGTCCCTTAATCTCACTACCACTTATAGCCATTTTTGGAAATGACTGCCAGGGTCTGGAATGGGACAAAATGGTATGTAGAGATACCCTAATGTGGGGGACTAATGTTAAGTAAGTTACTTTTTTGGGCTTAGGTGAACTCACTGGAAAACTGGAGGTAAATGACTTATTACCTCATAAGGTGATTGTGACAAGTAAGTGGGTGGTTGCATAGTGGTTAAGAGCATAGTGTCTGGTGACTAACATCTGAACTCTCAGGTCACGTGATTATAGCCTTGGATAAGTCACTTAACCTTTTGAAGTCCATTATCTTGTGAAATAAAGACAAAATAATACCTATCTCATAGGCATAGGCTTGTTAGGGAGGAGATACTAGAACAGTGAGTAGTCTACTTGATGCATAAGGGAATAGAAGTATTGACAGATAGGTTGGTGTCATGTTTATAGGTTGAGAGACTTACATTCTGTAAAGTAGTTATGTTATCACTAACAGAAACAAGGATGTTGATTAAGGACCAGCTTTGAAAAGAAAGTAAATGAGGTTTTGAATAAAATTGAGCTTGAGATGACAGTAACCCATTTACTGGAAATGTACTGAGGCCAATAGAAATAGGAGATAAAGGCTTAGTTGAAATAGGGGCTGGGATGTAAAATTATTAACATTGAAGTGGTAGGTAAGAGAAAAATAAATTTCCTTAGAAAGTGAGTGAGCAGAAGGAATTTGAACTGAATGAAGCTCCAAATGAATAGGCATAATGAAGAGTGCTGATAAAAGGTCAAGAATAGTACAAGTGATCCTTCAGAAGCCGGGAAAAGGATAGTTGAGAAATGATCAACAGTGTCATTATTTAAAGTATGAAAAGCAAGGGGGCCATGGACAATGACAGATTTTTTAAGGACACCATTAGAGAGTGTGGTGTCCTAAATGGAGGTATTTGGATCTTCTGTTCTAACTCTCTAACTCGCATATTTTACAGAGACTGAAAGAGAACAAGGGGCAGGGGGTGGGGGTTGAAAGCTCCCTGTATCCTTTATTCCTGTCTCCTTCTACATCTGACCATAATTCCCTTGTTTCCACCTCAGAAATAATTCTTTTATCATTCCTTGGAATATTCCATTGTATGATTGTATCACAGTTTATCCATTTATCTACCAAAATACATCTTGGTTGCTTCCAAGTTACTTTTCCTCTTCATGACTAAGCACAGCCTGCTTCATTGTACTTGTAATAAGGGCAGGGACCTTCTGACCAGTTTTCCCACCCAGAGGATCATGTGACACCTCTGCTTTTTGTTGAAATATTTTTTTAATGAAAATTTTTTGAATAGTAAATATATTCATGATTCAAATTTCAAAAAGTATAAAAAGTGAAATCTCACCAAAACCGGTTTGGCTCAGTGGATAGAACGTCGTCCTGCGGACTGAAAGGTCCCAGGTTCGATTCCGGTCAAGGGCATGTATCTTGTTTGCGGGCACATTCCTAGTGGGAGATGTGCAGGAGGCAGCTGATCGATGTTTCTCTCTCATCGATGTTTCTAACTCTCTCCCTTCCTCTCTGTAAAAAATCAATAAAAAATACATTTTTTTAAAAAAAAAAAAAGTGAAATCTCTCTTCCTAAATGTGTCCCATTGCCATCTAGTTCCCTTTTTCACAGGCATTGTTAACTTTTTTATATATGCCCTTCCAAAGATACTTTATGTATATATAAAAGCAGATGTGAATATGAATTTATATATATATATATCAATGGCAGCTTTATGCTCTTCTTCATCTTCCTGTATTTGTTTTTAAACTTACAGTAGGACGAATTTTGAATGTATGCAAAAGTTGACTAGTATAATGAACCTTCATGTACTCATGTCCTGGCCCCAGGCACCATCAATTCCTGGCTAAAAACTTGCACCATCCACACCAAATCAAGATCCAGAGATGGGCTACACATTGCCATTGGTTGATATGTCTTTTAAGTCTAATGGGTAGGTTCCCCATCCATGCATGTTTTCTTTTTCATAATGTATCTATTGAAGAAAACAGATTGTCTTATTATACAAATGACCCCACAGTTTGGATTTTGTTGATTACGCCCCTATTGCACCTTGCTTTTTGTTGTTTTTTTTAATATTATTGTATGGGTTTTGACTAATGTATAGTGACATGTATCCACCATTACAGTAAGGGTTCCTCCATGTCTTTGGGGGGCTTGGTAGTTCTTTTTATTGCTGAACTAGAGGCCCAATGCATGAAATTCATTCAAGAATAGGCTCCCCCCTCCCCCCCCTTGCTGCTGGCACTGGCTTCCCTCGAAGCCCCGACTTGTCAGGTCTAATTAACATATTACTCTTTCATTATTATAGATAATATTCCATTGTGCCACAGTTTATTTGTTCACCTAGCAAAGAACATCTTAGTTGCTTTCAAGTTCAGGCAGTTAGTACCTTGCTTTTATTTATTTACTTACTTATGTACATACTTAAGTACGTACGTACTTACCTACGTAGGTACGTAGGTACATAGGTACTTAGCTACGTACTTTCCTACGTACCTACGTAGTACGTACGTACGTACGTAACTATGTGCTTACGTACTTACCTACGTAGGTACGTACGTACATACGTACGTACGTACTTACCAGTACATTAGGTTTATTTCCCCTTTGCTCTCAAGGGAAAGCAGGCGTCCAATCATAAACAGCACCTGAGGGTGGGCTGGAACATGGAGCACAGACCAGGGACTTGCCCAACAGTGGCCTCGAGTCCTTGTGCCCCAAGCCTGAGCCTGGGGCATCACCAGAAAAGGGGAGTCCCCCCACCCCCGAGAACAGAGGCCTTGACCCAGCCTGCCGGCCAGCAGATCCACATCCATATCCATGTCTGCCTGCTCAGGCCTGGAGCCTCCAGACTTCCAGCGACAGGCCCCCAGAGGCGGCCGCCACCAGGTTGCCCTCAGCACAGATCTGGGCAGGGAGATGAAGACTCAGGGGTGCCCTTGGCAACCGGCAGGGCAGTGGCGTAGGGCCTTACCCCATTCAGCACGTTGTCGTGGCTTCGGGTGCAGATGGTCCTTGGTGGGTCTGTGAGCACGTGTATCCGGGTGGTCTTGTCAGTGGACGTGGTGCTTTTTAACTTCAAATACCTTGCTCAATGTATCCTGCAGCAATAGGATAAAATTCAGACTCGGCGTTTAACAGACTTGTTGCTCTCCCTCCACTACCACAAAATCAGTGTGCCCCATTCCAATAGCTATAACTTTACCTTTTTCTTTTCTTTTGTGTTCTTGCATTATCTTTTCTTTTCAGTCATCTTCTACTTATACTCACACCTTTCATTGGGTAGGGGTGAGGGGGCGGTCAGATAAAAGAGAGACAAGGCATTTTTATAAAATTGATCAAGACCCATTATCTTCCACCTTGTCCCATGTGGGCCACTGTAGGTTCACTGAGCTGTGTAGTGAATCAAGTAACTTTATGATCCAGTTCAGTTTGGTCATTGAATGCAGATGTCCTCAGAAAAGTATCTATATACTTTTATATAATATCTGCTTTGGTTTGTTTGTATTTGATGTCAAAAATATTCCAAAAGGGAATTTCCAAGAAGGGTAGGGGAGTGACAATATGTATATGTTTAATATAATTGGAGATTGTAAAATTTAATGTTGTGTGACTAAATTTGAATTTTAAAGTAAACGATTTTTTTTAACTGTTCTAGGTGCCTCAATTTAGTTTAGTTTCTTTTCCTACTGTCTTGCAAATAATGTCTTTTTCTTTACTTAAAACCATTAGGTAAAGGAGGTAAAAATAGACGTAGGGGTAAGAACGAAAATGAATCCGAAAAAAGAGAATTGGTGTTCAAAGAAGATGGGCAAGGTAAGTGTTTTCATAAGTTAGCATCCTTTTAGTAATAGTTTTGTTTTTCAAATATGGAATTTCAATTTCTAAACATAAAAGAGATACTATTCATGATCTGAGCAGTGAATCGCATGCCCCTTTTTGCCCTTCTCCATTTCTTTTGCTAATCATTTTGGTTACCAGTCTGCGTTGAGGATTGGTGGTGTTTCTGTAAATGTATAGGTGTATTGCGTTGCATATCTAGGAATAAATTATACAGGCCAGAGGGAATTAAGCCTCAAAAGTGATAGTTGACAATTCTATGATTTAGTGGGCCTTTTTTTTTTTAATAGTAAATAGTGCTACATAGTATGTGCAGTGGACCATGGATACTTGAAGGATGAATCTGAAGCCTTTCCTTCTCTTCTCCAGTGCCATTAGCATATAATTTCATAAAATGAAATTGAACATTTGACTGATCTTTTCTAACCGATTAACACTTTGTAAGTGCCAGCCCAAGATATATTATACTATTTTCTTATATTTTTATTTTGAGGACTTTCAAACCTTCAGAGAAGTTGCAGTATTAGTACAATGAACTTTTCTTAAATTGTTGTGTGTGTGTGTTTTCCGGAACCATTTGAAAGTTGCAGATATCATGATGCTTTTCCCTTACTGCTTCTTCCTTTTGCCTCTTAAGAACAGGTATATTCTCTTACATAACCACAGCAGAACGCTCAGGTAATTTAATCTGAGTATATTATGTATCCAGTTTATGGTCCGTAGTCAAAATTTTCCAATTATCCCAATAATTTCCAGCACTTTTTAACAAAGAAATTATTTTTATAGTCTTTTTATAGAACTTTGGTGATTTGTTCACACCATATAAAAATGAAACATTTTCTGGCTAAAAGAACTTTTTTTCTTAGCCTTAGTCATTCTAGCCCCCATTAGAAGTTGACTTGATTTTGACTGCCACTACGTTTACTTTTTCTTTTTTTGTTGTTTTAATATATTTTATTGATTTTTTACAGAGGAAGAGAGAGGGATAGAGAGTTAGAAACATTGATGAGAGAGAAGCCTCGATCAGCTGCCTCCTGCACACCCCCTACTGGGGATGTGCCTGCAACCAAGGTACATGCCCTTGACCAGAATCGAACCTGGGACCTTTCAGTCCGCAGGCCGACGCTCTATCCATTGAGCCAAACCGGTTAGGGCACGTTTACTTTTTTCATATTTACCCCCCACTTTGGAAGAGAGGCTGCCATTTTTTAAAAAAAATTTTTTATTGATTTCAGGGAGGGAGAGAAAGATAGAAATATCAATGATAGAGAATCATTATTTGGCTGCCTCCTGCAGGCCCCATACATTGGATTGAGCCCACAACCCGGGTATATGCCCTGACCAGGAATCCAACCATGACTTCCTGGTTCATAGGTTGATGCTCAACCACTAAACCATGCTGTCTTGGCGAAAAGCTGTCTTTGACCACCTTGTTGAAGTACTAGGTTCACTGTATGTAGTCTGGGTAACTTCCACTTGTCAACCCCACAATCAGTACATCAAAGTTACATCACTGTATTTACCAATTAGTAAATATCCTCTTTGGCGGTTAGTTTAATGTACTGCTTGAGTAAGTAAAGGTTCTGAAGTGATGGCCCCTCTCCCCCTGTGTCTTCTGTCATTTACTGATAAAGGAGACAGGCCGACATACAAGCTAATGCTCAGAATCTCAGTTTTTCAAATGGCATTGAAACCAATTGGCTTCCTGGGTACCCTTTTGAAAAGATTTTAATTAAAAGCTTGGCATTTTGCCTAAGAACGTCTTTCTGGCTTTACAAAAACTTCAGAATAATTACTAAGACATGCTAATTTAACAAAAGTAGCTTAATTAACATTTAAGCCACGTTTATTTGCCAAATCTACCAAGTGTTGTGAGATTCTCCTCTAAAGCAGCGGTTCTCAACCTGTGGGTCGCGACTCCTTTGGGGGTCAAATGACCCTTTCACAGGGATCGCCTAAGACCATCAGAAAACACGTATGTAAGTACATTCTGTTTTTATGATTAATCCCTATGCTTTCATTATGTTCAATTTGTAACAATGAAATTGGGGGTCACCACAACGTAAGGAACTGTATTAAAGGGTCGCAGCATTAGGAAGGTTGAGAATCACTGCTCTAAAGGTTAGAAGGGAAAGGAGCTTCAAAATTGGCAAAGGCTTCAGGAGATTGAGGAGGTATAGTGTGTACATTTTGGGACAAGCCACCTTGCTCTCCAAAAGTAAAGCAAACAGTCATGAAGAAACATTTCTGATAGCAGAGATGAGTCTTGGTTGTGGCTCTACCATTAACTAGCTTGGGGTTTGTCACTCCCTCTCATTTACTTTACTGCATGTATTTATTCCCAGCTAGTACCACTTATATGTTCTAGTCACTTTTATGTGAACTTCCAAATTGTTTTTATCAAAGTTGAACAGCCGAAACCGGTTTGGCTCAGTGGATAGAGCGTTGGCCTGCGGACTGAAAGGTCCCCGGTTCAATTCCGGTCAAGGGCATGTACCTGGGTTGCGGGCACATCCCCAGTAGGAGATGTGCAAGAGGCAGCTGATCGATGTTTCTCTCTCATCGATGTTTCTAACTCTCTCTCTCCCTTCCTCTCTGTAAAAAATCAATAAAATATATTTTAAAAAAAAAGTTGAACAATATCTTATGCCCTTTTCTTTTCCCTCCCCCAGAATATGCTCAGGTAATCAAAATGTTGGGAAACGGGCGCTTAGAAGCAATGTGTTTTGATGGTGTAAAGAGATTGTGTCACATCAGGGGGAAATTGAGGAAAAAGGTAGGTGTGTATATTTGTTTTAGTTAATACAAAATTGTGGTTAAGGGGAGGGGTGCAAATGTCTCTACAGTTTTTATGGGCCAAGGACCTTGTTTTTATAAGTTACCAAGAGTTCTATTTAAAGACTCAATTTGCATCACCTATGTTGTATTCCTGCCAAAAATGTTTAACCTGAACCTAAGAGGAAATGATCGACAAATCCAAATTGAGGGACTCTCTGCAAAACAAATCAGGAAAGGAAAAAAAGGCTGAAGTGCTATTAAGTGTTACATTAATGTTAAATTTCCTGAATTGTGATTTAATTCAGGAAAGACTAATGTCCTATCACATTCAGTGTTCGGGCAGATTTATTAATTAAATTAGTTAAAAGTTCCTCCAACTCTGATTTTATGATTATTTTTCAAATTTTGTTTTTTAATCCTTCTGTTACCAAACTAAAAAGTTGGGGTGGGGAAATGGAAGGAAGGGAGGGAGGCAGATGAAGCAACATATCTAATTTTTTATTCTTACATGTAAAGGATAGAAAACTAACCACTTAGAATACTTCACTGGGGGGAGGGGAGGTCCCTTTTTAAATTCATCATTCTTCTAGAATTAGTAAACTGCCAGGTAGTTAAATAAGAATTTTTTTTTAATATTCCAAATTACAGAAAAGTTGAAGCAGGCACACTACACTGCTTGCTATAGTTTGTTTTTGTTTTTTCCTGTTTCTAAATGTAGTTACTTAAATCACAGTTGGGTGAATAGCATTTTATGGGAATGCTGATTCAATGTTGCTCTTGATTCTTTATTTTTATTTCTTTTACAGGTTTGGATAAATACCTCAGACATAATATTAGTTGGTCTACGAGATTACCAGGTAAAAAAAATAAAATAACATTTTTATGCACTTGCCAGATTTTGATGATCCATTAGTGTTAGGAACATAAGTCATAACCGTATTTGAGCAGTTCTAGCACAGTATGTGCCTCCCCATTGTATCAGCAAACATTTCATAAGGCATTGTGCTAGGTTACTCCGAGATTATGGTTCCCAAATGCCAGTCTGTGGAGATCGTATTTTCACTCTAGAAGAAATGCAGGTCATGTAAATTTTTCATGAAGCTAAGTGGTCCTTTTTCAAACTTTCCGGATATTTAAAATTTTTCCTTTTTTTTTTAATATATTTTATTGATTTTTCACAGAGAGGAAGGGCGAGAGATAGAGAGTTAGAAACATCGATGAGAGAGATACATCGATCAGCTGCCTCCTGCACATCTCCCACTGGGGATGTGCCCGCAACCCGGGTACATGCCCTCGACCAGAACCAAACCTGGGACCCTTCGGTCCGAAGGCCGACGCTCTATCCACTGAGCCAAACCGGTTTTGGCTAAAATTTTTCCTTTTTAGCCCAGGCCAGTGTTTCTAAGTAGTTAGAATGTTGGCCTATGGACCGAAGGGTCGCACATTTGATTCTAAGTCAAGGGCATGTAACTGTGCTGCAGGTACAATTTCCAGTCCTGATCAGTGTGCATGCAGACAGTCAATTGATGTGTCTCTCTCACACTGATGTTTCTCTCTCTCTTCTCCTACCTCCCTTCCACTCTCTAAAAATCAATGGAAAAATGTATCCTCACGTGAGGATTAACCAAAAAAAAGTTTCCTTTTTGGAATGAGATAGTGAATAATAGTTTTGTTAGTGTTCTTAGTTGGCAAAATAAAAATGTAATCTTATGTTGGTCCTCCCACCTTTTTTGTTGTTGTTAATCCTCACCCGAGGGTATTTTTCCCCACTAATTTTTAGAGTGAGTGGAAGGGAGGTAGGGGAAAAAGAGAGAGAAAGGAACATTAATGTGAGAGACACGTCGGTTGGTTACTTCTCCATGTATCCCAGGAACCGGGCATCAACCTGCAACCCGGGTACGTGCACTTGACCAGGAATTGAACCCGAGACCCTTCGGTGTGCAGGCCGACATTCTACCACTGAGCCACACGGCCACGGCCCCGCCCCAGTTTTTTTTAAACTATACGTCTTGAATTCAAAATCTGGAAAGAGTTACTCATGGGGCTACAGCTGAATGATTCATGCTGCCATCCCACAAGATGTGAATAGCCTGGTAATGAGGGGAATAAGAAAGGCACACAGTTAATTACAGTATAAACCATGATATAAGTTTGTACTCTAAATTTAGATCAGCACTTAGGTAAGAAAATTATAGTTTGCCCTCATAATCTCAACCTGGAGACATTGTGGGTCTGTGAAATCTATTTGGTTCTACCTGTTGGAACTTACCACTGTGTATTAAATCACATTGTGAGTAATAAAATGTTTTTATTTTTAAAAATATATGTATATATTCCAGAATAAAGAATTACAATCGTTGCTTTAAATCAGTGGTTCTCAATCATGGGTGATTTTTTTTTTTTTTTATGTCCAGGGACCATTTGGCAGTGTCTGGAGAGATTTCTGGTTGTCACACCTGGGGGAGGGGGACAGTGCTGCTGGCATCTAGTGGGTAGACACCAGAGATGCTGCGAAACATCCTACAATGCACAGGACAGGCCCTGCAACAAAGATATCAGTAGCCAAAAATATCAGTAGTGCTAAGGTTAAGAAAACCTGCTTTAAATTCATAACCATTTTAATGTCCGTTCTCTTCTTTTAATCTCAAAAATAACCCCAGAAGTAGGGATAATAGTTTCCTTTGTGAAGATAGGAAACCAAGGTGCCAAAAGATACAACATTCTGACTAGAAAATAACAGCCAAGACCAACTTTTCTGATTCTTAATTTCCCATGAGCCCTCTCTGCCCCTGCCACTTAAAGGGTGGTCCAGGGACCAGTAGCATCGCTAGCTTTTGGGAACTTGTTTGAAATGCAGATCCTTGGACCCCCACCCCAAGCCTCCTAAATCAGGATATGCATTCTAACAAGATTCCCCCTGGGCTTCTTTACACACATTACAGTTTATGTAAGATGTATAGGTAAATACATGGCTTCCCTCCACATCAACTAATCTATCTTCAGGAGATGTAAAAGCTCCACAGGAGATTCTGATCAATTCTACCCTAAGAACCACTGGTACATGGAAAGTGTATTAATTTCCTTGGATCATTATACCAGTCTCAGTTTTTGAATTGCAGTATTTAATGTTTAATAACTGTAAATTATGGTTCCAGGGAATTTTTGTATTTCAAAAGACTTCTAATCAGAGGGTAATAGTAAATAATCCACAAGATTAGGTCTGCACAGTTCTGCTCTTATTAACGTGAGATCTGCGAAGATCTTCCCTAAGCCTGTTGATCATTATTCATTTATGCATGCCACCTTCATACTGGGTTAAACCCGAAGATATTTTTCAGAGGGTAGGAGAAAACTTAATATTTTGCCATAATCTGTTATTTTTCTCTTTTCAAGGATAATAAAGCTGATGTAATTTTAAAATACAATGCTGATGAAGCGAGAAGTCTGAAGGCATATGGCGAGCTTCCGGAGCATGGTAATGTCTCAGTTACTATATTAATCTGTCATGGTGCTATTACCTGGTCGTATCAAGGGAAGGGATTTGGGTAGAATTTTGTGGATTTTGCATACTTAACTTTTGTGCTTACATGATTTGTTTTAAGTCTGACTGCCTATACTTCATAATATTAGATACCTTAAGAAAATAACTGATTCTAATTAGTATACTTTGGTTGAGGAGTTATCTACTTTATAAGCCCTGGATTTCTGCATAATACCAAAGGAAACATTTTGTTGAGTATTTCAAAAGTCATTTCTCAAAGAGAATGTTAGTGTTTGTCTAACTCTAAATGTGAAGCAAGGGTAGTTAATTTAGGTACTATTGTTGATTTTTATTAAAAAGGCAGCCTTCAATTTATCGTACCTAGTATCACAGAATCCCACAGGATTTTTTAAGCCAACATCCTTTGTTTCCTCCCCCAGTACAAAAAATTATGCGTTCTTAATGTGGAAAACAACTAAAACAAAAATAAGTCCCTCACAACCTTATCAAAAGGGAAATATACTTTATATATTATTTTGTAAGCCTGCATTTTACAAGAACTTTGTATTATATCTTATATTTTGATGTATCTCCAAGTTATTAGAATAATCACAGATTTATGAATTTTTAAACAT